ATATATAAAAAAGAATAGGAAGGGCACAGTGGTTGCTGTTATTTTCCAGCAGTGTGTGAAGACAAGGCCAGGAGGGGTGTCCCCAGGAGTGGTGTTCAGAATGCTTGTACGTGACCATGGACTGGATGCCACTGTGTCATTCAAAATGACTTATCAATAGCATGTTATGTCTGGTGTCTGCTGCTTGACAGAGAAACAAGCCAAGTATTCAAACTCCCTCTACCCTTCTCGAGTTTACATTGTAATGAAGAAGACAGACAGAAAATAAATGAGTAAAACATAAAGCATATTAGATCATGCCAAGTATTAAAAAACAAAGGAAGATATACATAGGGAGCAAAATCTTAGATGTGCAGGGAGAAGCCCTCACCTTGAAAAAGCTATTTGAATTAAGACCTGAAAGGGATGGAGGGCAGCACACAAGTCATACAGATAGCAGGGAGAGCATTTCAGGCTGAGAGAAGAGCAAAGCCAAGGTCCCAGAGTGTGCTGGCTGAGGCCAGAGTGACTGGGGCGCAGGCAGTCATGGGGGGAAGAGGGGAGCGACAATAGACTGGTTGCTGTAAGCTGGGGCCTTGGTAATGGTGTTGGCGTTTGCTCTGAATGAATGGGGAGAATTGGAGGAATGAGGTGACCTGGCCTCTACTTTCAAAGAATCACTCTGACTGTTGTGCCAGAATAGACTAGAGTAGGTCAGAGTTAGAAGCTGGGAGAACTGCTAAGAAGTTTTTCAGTAGTCCAATGAGAGAAGATGGTTACATGGGCCAGAGGGTAGCAGCAAAATTGCCCAGATTTTGGGCTTGCTTTAAAGGCACCTCTGATAGGATCTGTTGGCAAGTGAAGTGTGGGAGAGTTTGTGTGTCAGAGAAGGCTTAATAATAAGACCAACTGGAACCTTTTGAATGTTGGAGAGTGGTAACTCTGAGATGTTCATTTTGGACATATTAGTTCTGAGTTGAGATGTCATGGAGGCCCCTGACTATCTGGATTTAAATTTAAAGGAGGTGTCCAGGTGAGAGACATTGGAACAATGTTTAAAACACGAGGCTGTTCATGATCACCAAGGAATGAAATGTACAAAGAAAAGGTGTTTCAAGTTTGTGCACCTGCCAATCTTTAGACGTTTAAGTCTTTAGGAGAAGCCAGCAAAATAGAATGAGAAGTTGTAGCTAGAAAGGTAGGAGGGACTGTCGGTGGGGAAGATGCCCAGGAAGACGAGTAAAGCATTTCAAAGAGAGAATAGTCAGCTGTGCTGCTGATTAAATGTTGCTGATAAACCAAGTAAGCTGGGAACTGAGAACTGATCATTGAACTTTGCAACAAAGGGGCTCGGGGTGCTTTTTGAAAGATTGACTGGAGTGGTAAAAGGCCGAAGTTCCTTGCTGTACCAAGCAACTAATCTTTGTTCGGTAGATTGTGGGGAAGATCAGGACCTCCAGGTGATGACCCAGGAGACCTGGGCAGCAGTGGGCTACTGGAAGTGGGGTAGTTGTTAACAACTGGAATGGACATGTTCTAGTAGTTCAACAATTTTATAAGCCCCATTGTGCCTCTGAGTTGAATATCAGCCCTGGAGATCTTGCTTGAATTCTTCTGCACGTGTCAGTGCTAGTGAAAAAAGTCATTTCAAACTAATTTAAAAAAAAATGCTTCATCACTTCATATACCTGACGGTCAGAAGAGATCTGACTCCAGGCATGTGGGGGCCTTGGGGTCAGTAAATCCAGAGGACACCATGCCTCTCCTCATGGGGAGGCTTCTCCCTGGATTAGTTCCATGCCTGGCAGTCTTCTTGTAGCTTACTAGCACCCTGCCCTCAATTACTTCAGACTAATGGTCAGTTCCTTAAGAATTCTACCACCCAGGGAGTGGTCTGTCCCAGTAATTTCAGCAAAAAACCCCAGGACTGATTTTCATTTGCTCAGGTTAGGTTAGTACCCACTCAGAGGCCACGGAATGCTTTCACTGACCAGATCAGCATGGCATGCCCCCTTCTAGGTAGGGGCGGTACCATCAGCAACATGACCAAACTGACGGGTGGAATCTCTCCCCTAAGAATCAAGGTCTTTTACTGCAAGAAGGGTGAATGCTGGAGTGTCACCAGACCCAGATGCCATCCGTGGCCCCTGCAGCACCAGGGGCCTCAGCACCTGTGTGCTCTCTGCTCATCTGCTTTCTCCATGTGTCAGCTTTTATATAAGCCGTTTCTCGTTTACTTCCTCTTACACTCTTATAAAGGTTTCAAATGGGTAATGCAACTCAGCTGAATGAAACTCTGTCCATCCCTATTCTGCTGTTCTCAGAGTCCTGGGGGTGCTTTGCCCCAACAATGCAAATCTCATTCATCTGGATGAGTTGCCAGATCGAAAAGGGCAGACAGAAGGGTCAGAGGGAAGAACAGAGATTGGAAGGTGCACTGGGACCAGTCTGTACAGAAGTGACTGCCAAGTGGCAAGAAGATGATTCTTGCCCTGGGTTGAGTCAAATGTGAGGAAATGATTCCTCCTCTGTAGGGGTTACCCTCGACACCAAGAGGTGTTCTAACTTGCACCCGTTGGCAGCTGAGCACCTTGCTGATTTCAGTACCCTCATGCTTATTTTTTCCACTGTGGCCATCTGAGCCCCGTTGGAGCAGGACCTTCCAGGGCCACTCTCTGCTATCCCTGGCACATTCCCAACACAGCCAAGCTTGGGGGCCTTTGGGAAATATAAAATGGAAAGCTGCCAGCATCTACTGGAAACAGCACACGGTCTCCAGAGAAGTATATACCTAACTCATGGAAAGTGACAAAATAAGGCAGCCCTCGAAGGGCTGTTCTAGACCCTGAGACCACCCAAGCAGCCAGGGCCTGTGTTTCAACAGCAGTCAGTCATGAGCTGACTTGGTTTCATAGTTAGGTACTCAGCAAGTGATGATTTCTTTGTTTAGATTTCAAACGAACTGCTGGTGCATTTTGGGCAGGTTTCTGGAACAATTGATTATAAATAGAAGGCTGTCAATGTGCTCAGTTCCTTTATTTCTCTCCTTCCAGTCTTTTTCCAGCCCTTTTCCCACCAAGTACAGTGTGCCTTCTGGAGCCTCAGGGGGAGGGGAGTAGCAGAGGCTTCCAGTCGTAGGACTTGCTAACCTTTACCATGGTCTGGAATGAACTTGACTATTTTCCATTTGGATTACCAGGGCATGTTGAGTCTGGATAATACGTCCTGAGAAATGCCTAGCTCTAGTGAACATGAGCTTTTACTTTCTAAAGGAAGTTTATGGTGCCTTCTCAGAGCTTCAGCTGGCACTAGATCCTTGGCCTTTGCTGTAGGATTTCATATTTTCA